TGGAAGAACCCACAAACGGGAAAGGCAATTCAGCCAAACATTGTCATGAACCTCTGTGGTATTTAAGTAATGTTCCACGTATGTATCCGAGCAGGGATCAAAGAAGTTAATGTGATCAAATCAGTTGAAGAGTAACGTAAAATCAAGGCATTAGTCCAATGCATTGCCACTGGCAAAATCACAGTGTAAAGATGCCTTTATGAGTCTCATCTGAGTTTAAGGCATGTGTCCAATAAAATTGTAGTGTCCTGGTGACATTTCCATGTCGTCAAAGAACGCATTTCTTATCTGAAATAATAAAATCTGTTAAAATAGAAACACGACGTGAAATGTAAAGGAAAGCTGGTGCTGATTGCACATACCGAGATTCCTTCTAGATTAATAACAGTTTGATTCGCGTTATTTTTGTTGTTGAGCAATATGGTGTTCACTAACTGCAAGACGTAATGACCGGCATAACTCTGACCATTAATGCAGAAATCCAGGGTTTTGTATTGTGGAAACCTCTTAAACCATTCTATTAGAAAAGTATAGTCATCAATGGCAGTGCTTGTATCACCAGTAAAGTTGTAGTCGGTAGACATGTTTGAATAAGAAGCGCCTGTTTGACTGGTCATTTTAAATTCTTTTTTCTACATACTCATTTTTAACTATAAATTTACACAATAAAAATCACTATTCAAAACTCTATTTTCTCAAATAATGGTTGTCAAACAGGAGTGAAAACCCCAGCAGGTGATTCTAAGAAAATCACATTTGCCACTGGAAAATTCAATAGAAGAACTAAGTACAAGAAACTCTGATTCTGTCTCAACTCATAAGTTGATCTCACCATTGTTCTTCTATCCATAATTATTTCGAAAAAGTGTTTTCCCCTCACCATTGACTCGAAAAGGGCCCAGTTCCCATAGCTCCGAATCCAAAGGATGAACATTCTGGACCTGGTAATCAGAAATATGAAGTAATACTACCAGCTTAGAAAGAAATTGAATGGATGATGACAAATTCCTTGAATTGTTTATGCCATGTACTCTTACATTTAGGACATGTTTTGTACACAGTACATGAACAGACAGCGGGAAAGGTTTTGTACTTCCGTTTAACCATAAAACTAGATGATTAGTAGAAGACTTTGTCCTGGGGACTCGGAGTAAAACAACGCTTGTCCAGACTGTGGATTAACAGTGATATCCCCCACTTACTGATCAAAATCCACATTATCAGGTTGTCCCAGCAACTTGTCGATCTTGTCAGGTCGCATTAATCCATCTTGAGGCGCTACATACACCGGATTATACTCTCTTGTTTCCTGCAATCGTGCCCAAGAATCTGAAACATGGAAATTATGTGATCTTCTGGACTTGAGCAATCTGTGAAGGTAAATTCCCTGTTTAGCATTAAACCCAAAAAAAAAAAAAAAGCCTGAAAAAAATGAGAAGGTGGAAGTCTCACCTTTCTTTTTCCTATTTCTATTCTCATGTGTTTCTTCATGGGTTGGAGTGGGTGGTGGTCCATTTGGGCATAAGACGAGTATATGGTTTCTATGTACTTCTCACTTTTACTTATGTTTAAAATTTTATCATGTTCTATTGGGATTTATAAAAAGCTAGACGTTTAAGGGGTAGTTTGAAAAAGTTTTTAATTAAAATTTTATCATCAGATTTTAATAAAAATAGATGAAATGTGGGAATAATTTTTATTGTTGCAACTTTTTAGAATTTTTTTTTAAGTTCTTCCAAACAAGCACTAAAATTAACAACTCAACGTTGAAAATATTGGTTTAAACTTCATACTATTTATCTGTGGACAGTTATATTCATACAACAATTTTTGTTAACTTCACCATATTGTAATTGTAATTAAGGTTCCTAATTTTTCCTTATTTTCGCACTTATGCAGTTATGTGTGAACCTTTTTTCCTAGTATTTTTATATCTAATCTTCAATAAATTAACACGTCGTGTTTGTAATGATAGTTTCTGTCCAATATTTTGCTAGAAGGTTAA